TCAAGATTTAGGAGGGAAAAGCAATGTAAAATATTTTGTTAATAAGTTTTTATATTGATTACATGTTGAACTGATACTATTTTGAGTACAGTGTGTTAAATAAAGTATATTTAAAATTAATTTTACCTGCTTATTTTAATATGTACTAGAATGTTTAAGATTACATGTGGCTCACATATTTCTGTTAAATAGCACTGCTGTAAAAGTTTATGAGGAAATATGGAAGATTACTGGGAAGAGGTAACAGCAGTAGAGAAAAGCATCACAAGTAGAACCTTTACCCGCCAATAGGGCTGATTCCAATAAAACTCATAGGTTATAGCTATAATTTGCTTTTCCATGCTAAGGAGTAAAGTTTGCTTCACAAACTCTCTTGTTCCTCCAATTATAGTGGTTAGTGTGTGCTTTCTTATACCAGGCTTAATACTGAGACTCACTAAGCAGCATATGGGAAAGATGTTTGTCAGGGTTGTATGTTTTCACCAGATTATTCAATTTGTATGCTGAGCAAATAATCTGAGAAGCTGGACTATATGAAGAAGAACGAGACATCAGGATTGAAGACTCAATATGCAGATGACACAACGTTGTTGCTGAGAATGAAAAGGACTTGAATCACTTACTGAGGAAGATCAAAGACTACAGCCTTCAGTATGGATACCACCTCAACATAAAGAAAACAGAAATCGTCACAACTGGACAAATAAGCAACATCATGATAAACAGAGGAAAGATTGAAGTTGTCAGGGATTTCATTTTACTTGGATCCACGATCAACACCCATGGAAGCAGCAGTCAAGAAATCAAATGACATGTTGCACTGGGAAAATCTGCAAAAGACCTCTTTAAAGTACTAAAAAGCAAAGATGTCACTTTGAGGACTGAGGTGTGCCTTACCCAAGCCCTGGTATTTTCAGTTGCTTCATATGCATGCAAAAACTGGACAGTGAATAAGGAAGACTGAAGAAGAATTGATGCCTTTGAATTATGTTGGTGAATAATATTGAATATACCATGGACTGCTAGAAGAATGAACAAATCTGTCTTGGAAGAAGTACAGCCAGACTGCTTCTTAGAAGGGAGAATGGCGAGACTTCATCTTAGGTACTTTGGCAATGTTATCAGGAGGGATCAGTCCCTGAAGAAGGAAATCATGCTTGGTAGAGGGTCTGCAAAAAAGAGGAAGACCCCTAATGAGATGGATTGACACAGTTGACTGCAACAGTTGAGCTCAAACATAGCAACCATTGTGAAGATGGTGCAGGACTGGGCAGTGTTTCGTTCTTTTGGATGTAGGGTCACTATGGGTCGGATCTGACTTGTGCACCTAACAGCAACAACAGGTGAGTGATTCACTAATGACCTCAAATGATTTTCAAAGCACTTTCCCAGCTCACTTTTATTTGGTATAAAATCAGTGTTAGATGATTTATTAGTAGTTATCGCATCTAAATTCTTGATACATTTAACTCCTCAGTGTCAAAGTAATATATGTCATCATAGGCTGTTTGGCCAGTGCATGGAAGGAACTGTGTAGGGCATATGATTCTTCATTTCCAAGTTGCTTGAGTTAATACCATTTTCCATTAGTTTGATCTGGTCTTATTTAAAGGGTAAGCAAAACTTCGATTCATTTAAATACAAATGAATAATACAGCCCAAGTCCTCTGAGTGGTTGCTCAAGCTTGCTCAGAGTGGTTAATATAACTTGAATATGTATTTTTTTCTGTAGGGTTTTTGTACCAAGTTTGGGCATTTGCTGCAAATTTGCATTTTTTGAAATATAAAAATAGTTATTTTCCACGTTACAGACATTGTGGAAAAATAGCTCTATG